TTCTCCAAAGTAGAACAATTCTTACTATACACAGTGTTTACAAATAAAAAGAAACTAGATACCCTTTGGGTAAGGAGAGCACCATTTGAAACACAAAACAAGATAGAAATCATGACTTATTTTTTCCTAAAGTTTTCTGTGTTGTACCTCTGAAATATACATACATGTATACATATATGTGTGTACACATATATGTGTATCTCTGAGCAGAAGAGCAGGATGGAAGCCACTCTGTCAGCCCCCACCTCCCACTTCCATGTCCCTGGAGAGCTGTGACCAGACACATTGGGAGGCAAGGGCTGAAGTTGTCTTCAAAGACTACCCTCTCATTTAGTTGGCAGCAGGTAGGGGGGTGGAGTTCCCAGTCAAAAATGCTAACTTTGACCTGTTGCCACTTTTGATCCCTGGAGGGCAAGGCTAGCTCTCCTGTGGTCTTCAGGGAAGGTTCTGAAAAAGGATGGGGTCCCACCCTCGCTCTGGAGCCATCAGTGTCAGGATAGTAGTAGAAATAAGGACAGGAGCTCTGGAGTAGGCAAGACCAGGCCACTGCCTGGCTAAGTAGAGCACCTTTGCCCTCCTCCTGGGCACTAGCTCTGGGCTCTGTGCCTGTTCTCACTGGCCATCTCTTGGGATTCAACCTTTCCAAGGGCCCCGCACCATACTCCACCCACCTGTGGCAGCCCTTCCACACTCAGTCTCCACTTAGCACCCCCTCTTCTACATAAACTATAAGGTAGTTCTGAGTGTGACATGTTCTAGAAAGAGAATGTATGACTTTTTTCTTTTGTTTTTAGTACAGAAGATGCCTGAAGTGTACATTTGTGTTGCCATTTTGGCTCTCAAGCCAATGAACCTCTTCTTGTTCTCATTTTGGGGGATTTTATTCTAGACAGTTCAGAGGACCTAGGGACTTTGCCACAACATCCAGTTCAATAGCTTTAATCAGTTATTCATTATTCACCCAGGTATTTAATGAGAAACTCTCAGTATCTCATTTTTTTCCAGGCTTTGAAGAGGGCCCAAAGGATGTAAGAATGGCCCCTCATCACTTGGAATTTACACTATATCTGGGGACACCACATACCAACATGTGGAAGTGTCCCAGTTCAGGCTCGGGAGTTCAGAGGAAGGATAAACATGGCTGGGGTGTGCAGGTAAAGCTTCCTGCAGAGGTGGGATCTGAAGGTCCTTTAATAGTAGACAGAATTTGAACAGGAAAACATCCTAAGCCTAAGGAACAGCAGGGGTGTCAGGAGGCTTCCATAAGTTTGTGTGATCCTGTAGGACGGCTGCCACTGTTGGGGTCATTACTGTAATTACAAGGACTTCCAGCTGAGATGGAAGCTTGATGGGCCAGAGCATGCAAGCAAGGGGCATCAGAAGTCCCAGGAGGAGGCCAAGGAACCTGGTATTCTGTGGGATGCCCATGCTTGCTTTAGGCAAACATCTCAGAAGCCAGTGAGGTGGAAAGCTGGCAGAGTTGCCCTTGGACTCTGAGGCTCTCAAGCCCCACCTTCCATCCAGAGACTTGTCTATTTCACATTCCAGAACTCACCGCAGGTAATTCTTCATAACTAATTTGATGTTCGTTCTCTCACAGCAGGAGATGGATCAGCAGGGAGTGATGGTCAACACTAACTGGGCATGGTTCTTATGATATTTTGCTTTGTCCTTCCCAAATCTTGTCCAGGGGAGATGATAAAAGGAGACTTCCTGGGGCCTATTATGACTGAACACATCTGCCTTCAAGGATTTGGGGCTTTCAGCACACTTTCAGAGCTACCTGCTGGCTCCCGTGTCCACTCTGCCTCATCCAGCAAGAAGTATACACTTGGAGCTGGGCAAGAGCCTGGTGCATGCTGGTGTCAGAGAGGAGACTGGGCCAAAGCAGGGGATTGTCAAGAGATGGAAAGACTGCCCATAGCAGGATGGGGCTGCTGTGGTGATAGGATGGCCATTCAGACCATTGGTGCCAAAAGCGTGCATGTCAATCAAAAGACACCCCACTCGTCCTCTAGCTTGTCTCCCTGCCTTCAGGATGTCTTCCGAAGTACAGATCTCATCATAGCACCCTCCTGCCACTACAGCAGGAAGGCTCCCTGCCACACACCAAAAATAACCAGGCGGTGCGGCAACATGGCAAATAGACCCTTTCCCGTTATGGAGTCATAGAAATGTTGAGTAAACTGTAACCCCCAAAATATTTATTTTAATGTATGCTGTCCTTGCACAAAAGAAAGGGAAGTCCTCAGTGGCAGAAATGAAGAGAAAAACAACAGCCAAAGCACTTAGGTGAAAGCTGGAAGCTTGGAGTCTATGGGGATCTTGGAGCCAAATTTAGGCTCTAGGGACTGCGCTGAGTTAATAATACCTGTATAAGAATAGGAGATGTGGCCTTAGCCTTGCCTGGAGGAGAGAAGCTTTTAATCTGAGCTCAGCAGAAAAGCAAAAGCATCAAAGAGATGCCCGTTCCTTAAAAGGGGATTAGAAAACACCTCACACCAGCTCAGGGGAGGGTGAGGAAGCAAATGGTCTATCTTGGGCATCAGAAATTGAATTCCTAGGGCCTGTGCCCTGAAAGGGTGCAGACTCCAGATTTGTACTGCCTGTGAGGCCCATGAGCCCAAGCAGAGAAATTAACATAATATATGGTCTAAAACAATCAAAACCTCTAGGATCCCAGTAGATAATGCGTAACCACTCCATGTAGAAACACTGTCACAAACCAGAGGAAAAACAAATCTTACTGAAAATGAGCTCATAATAAAAATCAACAAATCATGTAAGGAAATGAGCCTTCGTGAGTGGAAACCAGCAGGTGCAGCCAGCAGGGTCCTTGGTATCTCAAGGACTGCAGATAATGGAACAATATGAAAGAAGCTACACACACACTCATACCCAGAACTGCAAAAGCGGAACCCAGCAGTTCTGATCCCTGTTCTAATCCCAGCCCTTTCCTCTTGTGTTCACCTTATTTCATTTCCTGCCATATATACTCAAATTCTTGAGCTGTCTTCAAATTCTTCCCGTCTCAGCTTTTTTTTTTTTTTTTTAAATTAGAGGTTCTTTTTTTGAAATATATTTTCTTTGATTTCAAAGAGAGGAAGGGAGAGAGAAAAACATCAACGATGAGAATCATCGATCAGCTGCCTCCTGCACACCCCTTACTGGGGATCAGGCCTGCAACCCGGGCATGTGCCCTGACTGGGAATGGAACCATGATCTCCTGATTCACGGGGTCAATGCTCAACCACTGAACCATACCAGCCTATCTCTCAGCTTTTCCCCTTAAAAAATCATTCTTAATTTTCTCATCTCCTTTCCTCTGTTACTGTGATAGGCATTTAGATGGTCTCCCTGCCTTCCCATCCCCACTGTCCCCTCTTCTCTTTAATCCACCCCAACACTGCGACTAAGTTATCCTCCTAAATGCCAAGTTCAATGATTTTACTTCCCAAAGCCAAATTCTTGATGATGAAAGTCCAAACCTTCCCCAACTTGGACCTAAACATTTTTCCTGTTTAGTTCCCTATTATATTAGGTCACCCTCACTCCAACCTGCTGTTTCAACCTTTCTGGCTTAGTTATCCTTCGTACACTCTCCCTCAGGCTCCCTCCTCCTTCTGACTAGACTGCTCCCCTCATCACATCTGCTGATTGAAGGTGAACCTTAGCTTAAACCTTTAAAAGCATGATGTCATGAAAGAATGAAGGCATCATTACAACTAGACACATCTGGTTTCAAATTCTAGGTGTGTCACTTAATAGCTCCATGCCTCAAGAAAGTCACAACCTCTCTGAGCCTCAGTTTCTAATCATATTAGTTGGGAATGATACCTACTTTGCAGATTTGGAAGAATTAGAGATAATCTACATAAAGCACTGAACACAGAACCTGGCCCCAGTAAGTGCTCAATAAACAGTTGCTGAACTGAACCTGTACCTTCACATATTTAAGGAAGCTATGTCCTCACCGCTTCCCCAACCAGAGCTCCACGAGGCCTGAAGTCTTTGCATTTTTGCACTTTCCTGTGTCTAACACAGGAAGTCTTGAAACATGTCAGTTGACAAGTAGTGAAAGAACTAGGCCTAACCTGATAGTAGAAGGGAAGGCTGGGTAGAGGGACCCGGCAGGTGTCACATTTTGGAGGGCCAATTCATACTGCATCACTCAGAGAGGGCAGAACCACCATCAGGAGCTATAAAGAGGCTGATGCTAGGCCAGGATAGGAAGGAGTAGCTAACATTTAGAGCTGTTTAATATTAGACCAGGTGCCAAATGTAAGTTGCATGCCATGAAAAAACTCAGATTACAGGAAGCATTTACTAGTGATAATAAGAAAGGTTCACTGATGTCATATGTATCTTCAAAATACACACCTCCCATCTAAAGGGCTTGGTTCATAGCTAAAAGCTCAGTGTTTTTTGCCACAAATTCAAGGCTTTATATATTTTTTATTAAATGAATAAATGAAATTATTGATCAATCTGAATTTTAAGGAAAGACATGGGCTATAAAAAGGAGAAAAAAGAAAGAAAAAGAAGGGTTTAGAAAAAGACCAGCACAGGTTGACAAAAGGGTAGAGAAAGGTTAGTCAGGGTCAGAGAAGAGGTCATTTTGGGAAGGCTGGAACTCCCTTGTCCAGGGCTGAGCACCAGTGACCCAAGACTGGACTTGCCTGCTCGATTCTGCTCATGTTGGCTGATGAGAGTGATCATGGCACATACCCAGGGACTACCAGGGAAATCACTCATAAGATCTTGATCATGTCCAGATGATATTCTGATCTGATTTTGAAACTTCTTTTTCCCCGTGAATTTAGGTCTTAATTATTATGCTCTGTTATTACAATTGTTACTTGTTGCTCTGTTATTACAATTGCTCAGTTCACACTTGGTAATGAGTTTTTTTAATGTTTTTATTTATTTTTAGAGAGAAGAGAAAGGAGAAGAAGAGAGAGAGAGAAACATCCATTAGTTGCCTCCAACACAGACCCTGACTGGGGACTGAACCCACAACCTGGGCATGTGCCCTGACCAGGAATCGAACTGGCAACCTTTTTGTGCACAGGAAGACCCTCACCCAACTAAGCCAGGGCAGTAATGAGTTATTAAATGAGTGTGTTGAGGTATGATTTTTTTCCCCTTAGAATATCAGTATTCAAAGAACAGTTGATTTTCAAATGGACACCAGTAACAAAGTCCCAAGGAAAAAAAATCCTGTCCAAGCATAGAAGGATTTCTTATTTGATAAACTGAGCTTATAATTCTCAAGGACAAGCTGGTTCTCCCAGTTCGTATGAGCAGAGATAAGCTGCTCTGAGTCAAGACTTCTTGCTCTCTGTGCTCACTGCCCAGCGTGCTCACCCATAGACACAGTGGCTGTGGGATTTCAGAAGGGTCCCCAGACTCTGCAGGGCCTCCGGCAGCCCCGCACCGGTAAGGGCACTACAGGCCCGGAGCTCCCAGCAGCGGTCCTGGAATCTCTCCAGGTCCAGCTTGTCTCTGATCTCAAGCAGCGGCAGAGCATCGGGTGCCTCCTGCTTGTTGGCCAGCACCAAGAAAGGGACGCGGGCCATGTTGGGGCTGTCCAAGACTTCTGTGAGCTCAGCCACTGCCTCAGGCAATCGGGCTTCATCTGTGCTATCTAGCACATATATGAGGATGTCCGTGCCTTCCAGGTAGTCCTTCCAGCTGTCCCTGAGCTGGGTCTGCCCCCCGACATCCCAGAGAGTCAGGGACACATGCCCCGGGCCTTCAAGAGGCTCCACATTGAAGCCAATGGTGGGCATGGTCTCCACCAACTGGTAGCCCTTCAGTTTGTACAGGAGTGTGGTCTTGCCTGCTGAGTCGAGACCCATCATCACCACCTGGGCTTTAGCCTTGTGACCTCGGGAATTCACAGAACCCATGGTAGCCACTGGTAAATCCTGGGGGAGAAAGACCAGGTGCACACATCAGCCATTCTTTTCTGAAAGAACATACAGATCCATGCAGGCACATGGAAGAAGAGCTTCTACTCCAAAAGCAGGAAGTGTCTACAGTTTCAAACACAGGCCTGGGCTCTGAAAGGCCAGGAAGTAAGGGTGTGTGAGTCACCATCAGCTGGTCTACACCGGGCGGCCTGCTTCAGAGAAGGGCTTAGGGCCGCCTGGAAGACAAGGAATGTGAGCTCACATTCCTTGGCAGTTACAGCAAGGAGGCAAAACAGAGTTCCAGTTAGACAAACCTAGTTCAGTCTGAGTCACTGGAAGCTGTCTTCAAGTCTTGCTAGTCTGTGCTTCTAGCCTCTGTTTTCCTTCCTGTGAGCCCGAAGCCCGAAACGGAAGCGGCCTTGGGCTCCGTGCACCAAGTGCAGGTCAGCCGGCTCACCGTCACTCCAGCTGCCCTTGGAACTCCCCACAGGCCAGCACTGTGTCCTGTAAATGGTGGCTATTTATAAATAGTGTTGGCTGGGGACAAACTGATCAGTCAGGGCAGAGGGGTTTCCTCCACTGTCTTACTGAGGTAAATTACCTCTAGAAAAACAACTCCCGTTTTTTTTAAAAATCCCAAATTTTAAGATTAAGGCCTGTTCTTAATTCAGTCAGGGGAAACCTTGGCTGGGACAGGTGAAGGGACATCTCCCCAGAGGAGTATATTTCAGCTGCCCCTGAAGAAAAATAAGACAGCCCCTATTCATTCCTCCTGCCGGGGAGAGGAGTAAAAATTACAGTTACCTTGGTGGTGTTGGCCGGTGGCCGTAGCTCCTCCTCGGCAGCAGCCTTCCCCCTTGCAGCTGCTAGTTGGTAATGTCCCAAGAGCGAGATGTGAAGGAAGTTCCATTTCTCCTTTTTCTGCTTCCTTTTCCCAGGTGGCTGGGGGAAGGGGGGGGGGCAGGCTTCACAGACCCTCCTCAGCTCTGGGGCTCCCCAGTAGTTCTCCCTCTGGGGATGTGCCACAAAGATATCCCCAGCTCTTCAGCCCTTGGTAGAGCAAGGTCCAGCACCACTCTGTGTCCCAGAAGCTCAGACTCCATGCAGGAAGGAAGGTGCCACGCTCACAGCTGTGCTCAAGTTCAGCCACTTTCTTTTGCTCTTCCTCTCATAATCCTGTGACCTCCTCAGTGGAGAAATCTGAGAATCAGACTTTTCCCTTCAGCTCAGGCCTCGAGGTTTTTCTGGTGCCCGGAGATTCCTTTGTTTGCTTGAAACCATACATGCTTTTAAAAAAAACTGCCTAAGTATGATTAAAACTCTCTAAAAGATATGAATATGTTAAAGGTAAAGCATAAAAATTAAAAAGTTGTGTCAGTGTGGTAGAACTATGGGCAATTAAGTGTATTGCTTAATTTTTTTTCTTGACAGTGTCATATTTTTCCCAGTAAAAATGATACCCCCAGAAAATATAATTTTCCAAAAATTGTCCCAGTGAGAAACTGTTGACTCTGTAGCGATCTGATTTGGATCTCGAGTTGCAGTGATTTGGCTCTTGTAACCAGTGACATTTGTGCAGCACTCTCTGCTTTTCACGCTTTATTTCATTAAACTGTCAAGAACCAAAGTGGGGGTTATGATTCAGGCCTGATGAAGAAACAAATGAAGAACAGGCTCAGACAAGGTAAATAATTTGCTCAGGATCTTGCTGGGATTTATAAGTCATCTCTTTCACTTTCAACCTGTTGAGCTATTCACTAAACAAGTGCTTTGAGAAAAAACAAGTAATTGTTGTTGTTGTCAGGCTACTTTATTTAATAGGAGGAAGCAACTAGGAAAAGTCAGAAACACAGTGTTTTATGCACACCACTGTGTTGTGCTGTGCTTGATGGTATTGTTTTTTCCTTTCGAGTGCCTGAGGTTGTGGGCTCTAGTTTTTTTGCAAGGGCCAGGGTATGTGGTGAAAGAAGGGATAATGGGAGTAGAATTATTGTCAAAGAAAAACCAAAGTTGTTGTGTAGCTGAAGCCCTAAAAACAGATTTTATTCAAGACTGTTGTAATAGGGGAAAGCAGACCTCACTGTAGAACTGGGCTCAATTTTAATACAACATGGGCAAGTGGGGATTTATAGCCAAGGGTGGGGGGGGGTGTCAATGAATGAAAAATTACTAAGAGGAAACATTGGGGATAATTGGGATTTTTGGCTAAATTGAATAACAGGATTTTTGCTGAAGGCAGGCCAGTGTGATTAGACATCGCCTGGGAGATGGTGGGGGCTGAGGAACCTAATCAGATACGGAGGGTGATCAGATATCAAGGGGTATCTGGTTAAACTGACTTAGCAGAGTTCTTGCTAAAACTGGATTTTAAAAGGAAGTACAGAGATGGACCTAGGAGAAGGTTTAGGAGCCTGACTAAAGTTTGGTTAAGCAGAGATTCTTTGTCGTTATCCCAGGAAAGCCTCAAAGCAATAAAGAGCTGTCTGGAGGAGAGCTTGTCCTTCTTGACTAGACCAAGTTGGGACTCAGTCCTACCCAAGCCTGGCTGATAAATCAGTGGGAATCCTTCCAGGATTCTATTTCAGGAGGATTAGGGTTGACAGAGTATAAAGACTCAGCAGGCTAAGGATGAAGTGTGCTTGGAGCCTGGGAAACCAGGGAGTGCTACCCTGACTGGTTCCCCATGTCTGAACCCTAGGGCAGGAGGGGAGGCAGGCAGAAGCTGAAGGAGCCATTGACTTGAGGGGCTCAAAGGATCCAGATCAGGCTGGTGTTTGGGTGCTGAGTGGCCCCCAGTGACACAGTTAGGAAGGAACACTCTCTCAGCCTGCTGCCCAGAGGATTCCAGCGACACCTGGGACCACATGGGCAGCATACAGGGCATTTGGAGGCCCCTTTGTGGCACCCATGGGTTCTTAGAGAGGCACTGCCCTCTGGGACCTAGACAAGCATTCGGGGGGGGGGG